AAGATTATTTTCAAATAAATGATTTGTTGGTTTGTTGGGTTTTTTTCAATTTTGGCCAAACCCCTGTTTTTTCAATAGGTGTAGGCAACGAGGGAATTATTGTAAATCACGTAGTAAGGATGCTTTCCCCATGGGTACTACACAGACCTCTAACACCTCATTATCTTGTCCCTGAATCCCAGCTGGGTTATAGTTGAAATTTATTTGGCAGACATTGAAAAATATTAAAAATATTAATTTAAAAAAAAAAAGGGGAGGGGGATGATCAATCCCTGTAGCTCAAGAGCTTGCAGAGTACAGCTGCATTTTCCTGACAATCATTTTATAACATTCTACCATTATTCTCAACATCCCCAAATCAAAGGAATTTATTTTTTAAGTCCTTCTATGATACAGCAAATTCAGAGGCAGGGAAAAAAACAAAACAAAACAAAATAAAAAAACCCAAACACAAAAAAAAACCAAGGCAAGACCTTTATCCCAACTCAAACCTCTTTGTCAGATTTCAGTGGAAATCCAGTTCCGAGGTATCTCTATTTCAGATGATCTGGACCGTGAAGATCTTTCTGGGGTTTGGTAAGTAATTTTTGTTATTGGGTTGGACCGCGCATGCACCAACATTAAAATATGTTGAAATACAGTCTAGACACCAGCAGGTTGAAATAAATACTTGCTTCTGAGAGGACTGCAGAAAAGTCATCCTCCGGGATGTAGCCATTTCAAATTTATGACTGTCTTTTCATGAGAAAACATCATCTAAGCTGAAATAACTAGCTCAGTGTAGATCAGAGATGAAGCAGTTCAATTAAACTCAATAATCTGAACAAACACCACAAGTGACCTATGAATAACTTGAATTTGCAATTAAGAGACATGTCCTTTTTAAAAAAAAAAACAAAAAAACTGGGAGGAGAGCTGGAACAACCAATGAATTTAAAGGTCAGATTTTTTTTGTTTGTTTAAAGAGTCTCTGCATTTTTATTAGATATAGCAGAACAGCCAGCACCACCACCATGGTGGGGAAAAAAAAAACCAAACAACACAAAGTAGTAAAATAAACAGGAACTTGAGTATAGCTAGAAGAATTTAACTTTTTAAAAGCTAACCTATTTAAGATAGTCTTCTTCCTTTGACAAGTCTGCAGGTAGAGCCTAACATTTATTGCATTAGATACAGATATATAGATCATTGCTCTAAACTGGAAAAAAAGTTATTTTTACATTTCAAATGCTTTGCAAGCAACATTAAAATTTAACATGTCTCAAGAAATTTTTTAAGTTTCCCTCCCCTTCCCCAAAAGGCTTTTCATCTGTAAGCACTAGTAAATACATTCCACAGTCCCTCTATTTAAGGGGCCACCTGTAAATTATTACAGTGTGATAAACAGAAACAAATCAAGAAAAATGAGACACTAAAGCTGTTCTATGTGGCTATAATACATAATCACGAATAGTTCAGCAACCGTTCACGACGCTTACCGATTCCCCAGACTGTAGCAGTTCTATCTTGGGAACTGGCCGCCACCGCCGCCACCACCACAAGATCGCAAGCAAATGGGTAACCTGGACCTTGACCATTTTTTATTTTGGTCATTGCTGTTAGAGAATAGCTAGAGTCTAAATACAATCTGCAGCTCTTTGTTGCTTTCAGGAAGAGGCAAACCAACCACTGTATAGTGCCGGCTTTCTCTTTGCACAGGCAACAATTCAAGCCTCACGAAGCACACAATTAGGCAAATAAAGCATCCAGATGCCCTAAGTATACTCTAATATTAGTTTAATCCCCAGCGCCATGTAAAAATACATTCTAAATTAACTGCTTTTCAGGGGACCTTCAAGGTTGAAGATCATAAATAAACAAGAAACCAACTCGCTGCAGACTCAATCAGGGTTGTCAATTCACAAGAGGTTCTTAGTCCTCTTTGGTGATACAATTGATATATTTCAGCACAGCATGGGCATATAGTGATACATAGCTACGTCATTAAAAGTTGTATGTGCAGGTTTCTATTCACCTCCCCTTTCACAGACTTGCTGGCAGAGGTTGGTTACTTCCCATAAAATTTCTTATTCAGAAGAAAGATCAGAAGGTTGACATTCACTTTTGCTCTGTCGAACAACTTCATGACCGCAACGCCTTCATACTGCAGCTGCAAAAGATCCTGCCAAAGAGAATACCTTTATGAGCGAGGAATCCTCAAGAGCTGATAGAGAATATAAAAGACCCTGTGGTACAGCAGGTTTTTGAGGAATATCTATCGCAAAGTACATGGCATAAAATAGAAAAATGAAAGACTTGTTAAAGATCCACTCATACTGCATGAAAAATAAAGTCACTCTAAGGCATTTAAGATCTTAATTTTTTAATCTCTGTTGATTAAAAAAAAATTATGAAAGAGGGCAGAAACAGATGACCGTTCTAAGAAAGCCAAATTTCAGATCTAGCCATCTCCAGGCTTTTCATTTGCACAGCAGCCATAAAGTCGTCGTAACATTTAGAAAGGGTCTCCCATGTGCCTAATTATATTATGTACCCATGAAACATTACAACATTCCACAGCATCACCTTCTAAAAATCTTAAGTTGCGATAGGCCTCAGTGAGGTGGTTTAGAGCACTGCAATCTAGGGCAGAGAAAGAAATGGCATCTCTGTTAGGACTATGTACACGATGCCGATTCAGTCTCTTGGGCACTTACGCAGGCAGTATTTCTAGTCACACTTTCCTCCTGTCAGTGATGCACGGGACAGAGCAATAGGACTCCCTGCACTGATTTATCTCGGCAATGAATTTCTTTCAGCAAGCCCGCTCTCAAACAATACATATTGCAGGTGGCATTCAGGTAGTGCTACTGCAGGGAAATGTCGTGTGCGTTCCAACATCCAAATCTGGCTCCTGCAGCTGTCCAGCCTGGGTGACGCTGGAGCAAACCATCATAAAGCTATTTCTGCTGCTTTCTGTAAAAATTTTGGCAATGGCAATGCAAGTCTTTTTAACTGATGCCACTGTTAATGCTATACTTGGATGACTAATGGCAGTTCCCTCGCTGCTGTCCTCTCAGAACATCTGCTTTTTCTGCAAAGCAGTGCTACAAAGGCATAGTGGTATAACACCACATGTGCCTGAGGAGCGAGACACCGTGGGTAGCCCCATGAACCAAGAAGTTTGTGACCAGCTCCGACGGATTAGGACCAGAATGAACTACGGGCGTCCTCAGAGGACACGAACAGCACATGCGAGGCAGCCGCCCCTCCCAGCAGCCAGTTAGGCGGCATGGACTTACCGCAATGCAAGGTGCTCCTGCACACAATCTGCTTCGAGACCCCTGAAGCATCCACGATTAACAAACCTGATGACACCCAAGTTGGGTGGGTGGTGGGCAGGGACAGAAGTGGAAGAAGGGGACAGAGACACCAGGCGTAACAGTACTGATGTGGGAGGAATAATGGGGAACCGTTTGGGAAAAGGTCAGTCGGTATGCCTGTTCCGGTAGCCGGGACTAAGTAAAGGTTGAGGACTCCTAAGAACTGTATGGCTAAAGAAACGAGTAAGTGTAGGGTGGCAGAAAGAACACCAATATGTGATGACTGGCTGAAGCCACCGCCCCCAAGCCCAGCTAACTGCTGCCACAGACTCCCGATCTCTCTGCTGTAGCAGGAACTTGTTGAAAATGCATATGTTCGTTTTGCGTGTGTACATGTAAGTGTAACTAAGAACACAGACTGACATCAGGCTTTCATTAGTAAAGAAACAAAAGTAATCTGAATCCCCCCCATTTGCGTTGCACCTGTTTTGCCTGCAACAAATGGGTTGCTTTTGAGAGCATTTTTCAGACTGTTCAGGCAGAAAACACGTCATTATTATTTTGATGAAGAGTCTGGCAAGCAGAACTTACATGCCACTGTTAAATAGGACAGTTCTTACCTGATAATGTAACATAAAGGTTTCCATCTGTACCCCCATGAATTTTGCTTTTACCTCGAAATCTCCTACTTCTTCTGTTGGACTGATTTCAAATATCACGTTTTTAAACCTATGAAATTTAAGAAATTAAAAACCACAGTTCATTACTGAACAAGTAATTCCTACTGAAACAGGGAGAGAATATACGAGATGAAATCTGAAGATAAATTTCTAAAGAATTTTATTCTTAACTCTTTATTCTATAACCCCATCTGGAATGAGACCGTAAAAGCCGAACAGACTCAATACAACAATGAATGGAAGCCTAACAGATTCTACGTCCAGTAGATCGCACCTTCACACAAGCGCAGTAGGAAATACGGTAATTTAGCCTGTGCAGTCTAAACAGTCTACTTTAGTGCTGCACATCCATGCCTCCTTTAGTGCACAAAGTACAAAATATGATTCAGAGTTGAAAAAAAATTGTAGTAACAGGCAGCTTCTCTATATTCCACAGAAGATATACCAAGTTCTCAAGGCTAGCAAACTGCAGCTGGACAAACTCAAGCTAGCATCAAGTTGATTTTTCAACAGTGACAGCTATTAACCATAGCAGCAATTCACCCGAGGAGGCACCCTTCCACGACTGTGGGGGTGACAGGGAAGGGGCAGGTGGGAAGAGGATGTCACGTTTAAATTCCGTTATACTTCTCAATCAAAGACCTGCTTTGCTTCAACCAGAAAAAAAAGAACTGGAAAGTGATCACTATGCAAGGGATGCCAGCCTACATTGCCAAAACAATTTCTTCAGCTTTAATAGCCAAGTCTACCAACAATGCTGAATTCCAAGAATGAAACCGCAAGACAATGTCATGATCTCAAACATATCTCAGAGCTTCTGTTCCTCAATTCCCAGCACCTAGACTGGTTTGAAGAAAGGTACAAGAATTCAACATACCTGTTTTCCTCTTCCTCTGAGAAGGTTATTTAGCTCTAAAGAGTTTTAAAAAGATACTCACTGGTTACCTTGGAGGTCCTCAATCTCTAAAAGCACTCCCTTCTCATGAAGTCGAGCTGCTGTATATTTTAGAGAAATCTTTTTACTGTTTTTGCCTTTCATCTCCCGAGGTTTCTTAGAGACTCTGGGGGGAAAACCAAAACAAAACAACTCGAAAACCCCACCAAACAAGATGAGATATTTGAGACAGCAAACATTTAATCCTATTTGGATGGGGGGACAGAGCTAGTATAGCTAATCAACTGTGACTAATGCATCTGAGAGATGATACATTTCTACTAGTGAGTTCATCTACAAAGCATTTGTAGCTCAGATCAGATCTTTGATTTTCTACTATTTACCAATAACTTATGCTACAGACTGACTGAGCAGCATGTGCATTATCTGGGCAACCTGCTTCATTCCCACTGGACTCTCTACACTCCCCTCTCCCAGAGGGACCAAAATTCTTTCAAGTGTGTCTTTTTGACCCCATTTGGGGCACTGCCCTCTCCCTGTATTTTCCCACCACTGCTGAGACCCTTTCCCTAGAACTATTGCTGCAGTAAAGAGCTTGGCCGAGGAGCTTTGAGCAGGTGGCATTATGATCCTTCTTAGCAACAACCTACACGTGCTTTCTGTAAGAAGCACTTCTAGGGCCATGGCATGGTTCCAAGATACATACTTGCCCTTGCTGGCCAGGTTATCCAAGCAAGTTTTGATGTAGCTTTTGTAATAATCCACTTGTTCTTCATAAAAAGTAGCTTTGGAGTTCAAGGCACTGTATGTCTGCTGCAGCTTCACCAGCTCTGCCTTTCTTCTCTGACGGTATCTACGCTGATTTCGGATATCCTACATGGCAGAGAAAGACAGGCAGAGACTTAACAGTCATTTGAGCTCTCCAGTTGCTCAAGCCCATAGTATTTGAAACACACTTTGATTTTTTGCTTAGTCTTGCTTCATGCTACAAGGCGGAGCCCTCAGTTGCACTTGCCCCAGTTTAAGCGTCACCACTTCTTCTGTGTGTTGGTTATTTTTGGAACTAACCAACTCTACAGAGCAGTTCTGTAGAACCTTTTGTTGCTTTCTCAAACTTCAATGCTGTCCTAGTTGCAATGACTAGAGTGGGCACCGACAGTACGTGATCTAAAAAAAGGCAGCAATTTTTGCCGCTGCTGGGTAGGAAAGGTATCTTACAAATCAAGCGCTATAACCACGGCAGCGCACAGACTCCCTTATCTTTCTTAGTTGGCCATCTTTAAGCACACGTTACCTTAATACCTGAACAAAAAAATATCACGTGTTCAAGTCGACTTCTATTTTCATTTTTGATACGTATTAACGACAGTACGATTAATTCTAATCAACCCCCTAAAGGCGATTATTTATTCACTTTACATACATAACATTTCCCAAATAGTTTTTTGGTAAACACGTGATATAAAATACATTGTCATTGTAGCAACGTACAACAGTTTTAGATCACTTTTGCAAGTTTTCCTCAGCTCCCCCCTTTACTGTTTAGGTATTCTTGAATCAGTACATTTAAATAAAAATAACGGTTAGGATGTCTAAGTTATGGGCAAAACCTCTTCATGTCAGTAAGTCTGTAGAGGTGCTACTTACATTAGTGAAAAGGAGCAGAAAAAAAGATCACACATCAGGACTTCCCCTCCAAGCTATAATGCTTTTCCTTAAAGTGCCTGAGATTCTGGCAACACACGAACGTCCTATAAAAATAAAGGACTTCCCAAATGCCAAGAGGTAGAAATGCTGCAGCAAAAGGTTGGCTTCGTGTCTGTAAATTAGCTGCTACAAAACTTACTCCTCCTGAAAACTCATGCCAGTTTCACAACACTGCAAACTGTGAGAAAACTCCACTGTGATTACTAGGAAACCACCGACTGGCATACCTTCGCGATGTCATTGATTAGTTCCTGGTATTTATTTTTTGCATTCACTGTCCCCAGTTCTGTCAACTTCTTCAGGCCTGTCTTGATTTTCTCTTTTTTTTCTTGAAGATTTAAGTTGCCATCTTCCTTTACAGACACAGATTTTTTCATCTTATCGGGAGTTTTAGCATCACGAATGGCCCGTTTCTGCATAGCTCTTTGATGCTCCACTTCCTAGAAAAAGAAAACAAAAAATTACAAGTTCATGTTCAATTTTAAAGCGACAAAGAATCAGAAACAGATTGCCTGACCTCCAGCATAACATAGGATAAAGAGTTTTGTTTGTTCATTCCCGTACCGACTCCAATGAATCCACGTTTGATGAACACATTCCACGTACGGGAACCAGTAGAAGCCTACTTGCTGTTTAAAATGGTCTTCTAGATAAACAGCTTCCAGCAACTACCAGAGGAGTAAGATTCATACACACAGTTTATTTCCATTATATTCCCTCCTTATTATTAATGTTACACGCTGCTCCAACATCAGCGGAGACAGCTTCACTGCAATACACAAATGCAGATTCCCAAGTATACCCACGTATATCTAAATAGACGACAATTTCCTAGTCTAAAAAGAAAGCAGGTAAACAACTTCGTACTTGCTCTGAGGTAGCTGGAGTTTCCAAGATTTCAGTCAGTGTCTCTCCTGGTTGGAAGCGGATTACATCAACAATTAAATGTTTTGTGCTGCAAAGAAGTCAAGGAGAAGAGGAGAAAAAACTTAAATGGGAAGACCTTCAGTACTGTTCTATTCTGCGGTAATACCAACGTTACTGATTTACCTAAAGTCAGATTGTCACTGGATGCGTGCTTAGGTAGTCATAGGCTAGACCAGACCAGAACCCTGAGAAGCACTTCACTTCTTTGACAGCGTGTTATCAGCAACTGGTTCCCTGAAAGGTTCATCTACATAGTACATAGGACCTTCTCCCCAGTACCCCCTCAAACAGCAAGGGTGTTACCCCATACATTCCAAGGCAGCCCCAGTACTGCCATGTGGACCACAGAAGCTGCGATTCCAAGATGAAAGGTAAAGCAGGTAGCAGCAACAGTGAATTTGTGCAGCTAGAAAATCTATAATGTTATCCATCCATACATGCACTTCAGTGCTTTGTAACAGGGATCAAAAAACTTCAGAGAACTATTTTCTTATGTGTACAGTAGCTGAGCCAAAGCAGATCCCTGACTCCAGTCTGGTGATAGACAGGGTTCTTCCTTGATCTCAGCTGTGATTTAATTGCAGCCAGTGCCCACTCTGAGGCAATGCTCTCCTTGAGCCACATGATGAAACCAAATAGCACCTTCAGTACTTTGCAGTCAGGCTGGAATTATTTCTGGCATCACACAAAGTGCATCGCACTCACACCTTCCTCATCATCCACAACTTATATGACTACCAGCACACCTGGCAAGTCTTTACTTTTGAAATCAATGTCACCTTCTTCTGGTGGGTAGGAAAATACTGATGTACCTTTTGAGAAGCCCAATTAATTTAAAGTTATTTTTGGAGACAAGATTTTCTTCTGGCAGATCACTGGTCCGTCTAGGCCAAGTGTAAGCTGACCCAAAGAATTCTCAGTTAAAACTAGTATCTGAGCAGGAACGCATCAGAGCGGGTAAACGTGCATCTGAACGTCAGGTAGCTCTTCTGTACATCTCAGCAATAGGGCTTTGCTTAAAACTGGCCAAGAGTCAATATTAGTACTAAGTCCTCTGGAATAAAGAGTCCGGCAATAATGAAATCCCTGACAGTCTTTCTTCCATTAGGCTAATAACTAGTTAGCTAGTTGCTTTCCTTCCGTTAGGCTGATAACACCTCTGTTTCCCAAAAAGGCTATTAATCATCTATCAAGAGTCAGGTTTGGGGGACAGTGAGTGCAGAGAGAAGGGGACCACATCATGAACCAAAAGAGGAGAGCAGCAACAGCAAAAATATCCTAAGGAGATATTTCCCACGGAGGGGGGATAGCTACAGGGAGAGTATCCTAGGTTACCATCGTCTCCCGCTTCGCTAACAGGATACAGACATAATCCGCTCAAAGACTGTGTAAAGAAGCTAATTCTGCAGGAACTAGCAAACTTAGCAATGGAGCATTATTTGCATATAGTAGACATTTAGTTACCCTTAAAATTTCCATATGTCCCGTCACATATATTCTATTGAAAACATTTGCACAGGGCATTATATAGGCAACACAAATATTGATTCATTTAATTTTACATTAATAGACTTCAGAGTTAAAACTCAATTGTGATTAACACTATGGATTATTTAGGATGATCTTTACAAATTATTCACATGCAGGCAAATCCAACTGCTGCTGTCACACTTGCTCACATCTAGAAAGTTTTCTTTTCTGGTAGCTTTCCCCTCCAGAACCATCCAAGATAGACTTTTAAAGAATGACAAATTCAACAGTGACAAAAAACTAACAGGAACAAATTTAACAGCCGCAGCATTGAAAGGACATGGCTACAAGGTCAGTGTGTTTGGAGCAACAGTCCCATGTTTGTTTAAATTACACTTTGATTCTCTTATTTTCACATGCAGATTAACTGTGAAAATTCATGTCCCTCGTTCTCTTGAGAAACATACCCGGTAGTTACCCCTCACTTACTTCAACAGAATCGTCCTTGCATCCATCTCTGCGTTCTCATCACCAGGAACGTCAAATTTATTAGTGAGTGTGAGAGAAACCTCAGTCTTTGCTAGCATTTCCCTGTTGGGGTCATTAACATTGCCAGACCCTTCCCCTGCCAAGCAGAAAGAGTTTATAGATTAAATCATATTCTTCACGTTTTTGACTGCTAGAGCTTTGTAATTTTTC